AGTTGGAAAATCACTCATAATGTGTGTGCTCAGTCGTCAAGAAGTAAAAAACGCGTGCTGAATGCTCAATCCTCAATTCTCGGGGACTACGGTCCTTTCAGGTTTAACGTTAAAGACATCGCAATCAGGACGAAAACAATGGAGTTGATGGGTCGGCCTGCAGAGGTAAATCAAATTTGAGAAATCCCAAACTCCCCAAAAAGAATTGGGGAAAAAGTTCAGAGATTTCCCAAACTTGGGAAGTAGTTGAATTTGGGATTTGAATGATTTTCACTCAAATTTGATTTGATTCGATTCAAGAGTTTGAAGAATTCTGTGCTCGCATCAAAGAATATTGGCGAAGAAGTTGGAACCCTTTATTAATTATCTTTGCCTTCTTTTTTGGGGCCAAATTATTGTAGATCGGCACTTCTACTACTTTTGACCTGTAGTTTCAAATTTGTCAATTTTGTCATTGTAGTTTTGTATTTGTAGCAATTTAAGGACATGTTAGTCTTCTAGTTAATTTCTTTAACAATGCATGGGGTAGTTTCGTCAACCAAAAACCCTTAAGCGTAAAAGCTTATTTGAAATTCTCCAAATTTCATATTAAGGCTCTAAATTCAACCACTAATCTCAATTTTTGAAGTACCCTAAACCCAAATAACAAATTTTAAGTCCTAATATGAAATTAAGGGAGTTTTAGACGAGCTTTTATGCTCAAGGATTTTGAATTGACGAAATTGCCCCTTCTATCGTCAAAGAAATTGACAAGAATATTAACTTGTATGTATTGCTACAAATATGAAACTACATGGTCAAAATTGACGGAATTGAAACTATATGGTCAAAAGTGGTTGAAATGTCAAACTATAGGGACTAAAAATGACTTTTAGCCTATTTTTTATTGACCCTTAAATGTAAATTAATAATCATTAATTAGTTCTCACTTAGGAACAGTCTAAATTACAAGGTAAGGTATGAACAAGAAAAAAAAACTATAAGGTAAGGAGGTTTCTAACACAGACACTACTAAGGTGTTATTATGGAGGTTCAAACTTGAAATCATTGATTTGTAACTCAAGACTATTTGTCACCCAACTAGACCTGTTGACAATTAGTTGTCAGTCTAAATGATCATTTTTTTTCTTACTTTTATTGTTTTTACAAAATGATATTTTAATTATTCTAATGTAATGTAAATGAAGGAGATTAAACTCAAGTGCAAAACATAAGACACATTATGGCATAACCTACGTATGCCAAAAAATTATGTCCGTATTGTTCGTATAAGTTTTGTGTATTATTGCCCCTCTAATATGAAAAGTCCCAACAAAAAACCAGGTCATATTTGCTAGAAAAGACCCCATCGTGTTTTGTGTTAACATGTTATGAACGTGTAGACAAGGGCGGAACTGTGACTGGGGTGGGCTATGGTGCAGGATTTGGTAAAAGAAGACTAAAATTTGGTAGAACTATTTACAAGCTTTCAACTCTTCTACTCTCATAAATATAGGCCACCCCTCCTTACCAAGTCAAAGCGTACTTGTTGGGTTCCAACTTGTACAAGCAAATATGACGAACAAAAGAACTTCTAGAAACTGAACAAGACATGTAGTTGTATACCTTGGGTTCTTTCTTGTTAGGTTCAATTTGTATGAGTAAAATGAGGTGATTCTTGCTCACATCATTTTGTCTAAATGTCCATCTTTATTCTTCATGTGTTTTTATGTGTTTGTTTTGAAAGTAAGTCACATATACAAATTGAACTTAGTTTTCATTTGAATCTCATAATTCCATTCTAATCTGATAATGCCACTGACAAATCTATTTTGAATATTTATTTCTTTTGCTTCTACCTTTATTGTCGTAAATATTTGTGTGATGCTTGAAAATATGTACTCGATTTCTTTTTATTTATTTGTATTTGTGCTTATTTGTGTTATTGTTTAGAATATATATAATAAAAAAAAGAACTTGTTTGGTTTATAAATTTTAACTAGACTACTTTAAAAATAAACTTAATTTATTTTTCTCAATATTGAAGTTTAGGGTTTAAGATTTAGGGTTGCTAATGAACATACAGAAAAAAGAAGAAGTTCAAAATTGGATCTTCCTTAAATGCTTCATGTATGAATTGGAGCTCACTTTACTTGTGTTTTATATGATTGTTATTATAATAAGAAGAAATGCATCAAGGCTTCTTTAAATAAATAAAAAAACTTCATTTGATTTTATTTTTTTAATGCAAGCGAAGAGGGGTTTCAAGGTCAGGTGTCGTGAGGATTCGAACTTGAGACTAATAGTTTGCAAATCAAGGCCCTTTTCCACTAGGCTATACTCCATTAGCAAGGTTTAGAAATGTTTTAAGAAACGAAGAAAAAGGAAATGGGCTTTATCTATGGGCCCAGGCCCAGTACCCGAATCTCTTCCAAAACATAAAAGCGGTTCGATCGTTTCTTTCATTTGGGCCTCCGGACCGTTGGAAAATTTTCAGATCACCGTTCTCTCTCCGCTAAACAATCGCAGAGGGAAACGCCGTTCAGTCGTAGAGGCTGACGAGAGAGCGAATTCCTCCGCCTTAGCTCGTCTTTACTCTGCCATGGACTCACGCCACGCATCTCTAGGCCGACGAACGGTTCAGATCTCATCGCCCGCCACCTTTTTTTTTTCAAATTTATATCCGAATAATCGTATTTTTCTTCAATTGTTCATTTTATTTGAAATTTTCAGTTGGAAGATATCCGCCAAAAGCGAGCTGCAGAAAAATTGAGCAAAACTTCTTCGGGACCCGATCTCAGCAAAGCCTCAATCCCTATCGGTTCGTCATCTATATTTCGTTAAATTTCTCAATTAAATTTGCTATTGATTTTGTGAGTTATTGCTAACGTCGTTCATTGAACAGACCATGGAGGAATGAGAAAATCGGAAAGTGCAAGTCGGCTATCTGAGGTAGGAGGAGTTAGCTTCTGTATTTTTTTTTTTCAGAAAAGAAAAAGATTCTGAATTTTTTTTTTGTGTGGAAGCTTTCGTTTGGTTGCTGAGAAAATCAAGTTTTAATTCTCATATAATTTTAATGGCTTGTGCAGAGCGACGTTGGCGTTTTGGTTGCTCAGATAAAAGACTTGGAGAGGAAGAATGCAGAACTGGAAGAACAAAACAAAAACTTGGCTTCCATGGTAGGTCTATTATTTATGCAGTTTTGTGTTTCTTTCTTAGTTTGCAGTTTAGGAGACTTTTAGTTATGGGTGATGATCAAATGTGGTGTGCCTAATTAGTTAGTTTTCTTGATGTTTCAGCTTGAAACAAAGGAAGCTGGGGGTGACGTGCTGCAGAAACGTTTGAATGATCTGGTAAATGCAACTTTTAAATATCTTCAATTTCCTTTTCAGTAAAAGATTTTGTCTTTTTATGTCTAATGTATTGTCAACTCTATCTTCCATATATTATGTCTCGTTATGTCTGTGTATATTGTTTTCTTTTCAGGATGCATATTAGTTTTTGGCTGCTTGTACTAACATTATTACTTACAAATATTGATATGAAATAGATGCACAACTATTGGAGAGAAAAGAGGGTTTTCCTAGTTAAATATTTCAGCCTGTTCCCATATGCTTTGTTTGTTGTAAATTGCAGGAGAAAAACACTGTACCATCTCTCAGAAAAGCTCTCAAGGACGTTGCAATGGAGAAAGATGCGGCAGTTGTTGCACGGGTACTGACCATGTATATGTTAGTTGGTGTTTCATCTTACTTGGTTCATCATGGTTCGTGTCACTCTCAATCTTTTTCCATAGTGTAGGAGGATCTTTCAGCTCAGCTTCGTACGCTCAAGAAACGTCTGAAAGATGCAGAAGAAGAACAGTATCGTGTATGTAATTAGTTTTCTATTAGTTCTCTTGGAACAGCAGATTTTTATGCTTTTCTCACTTGTTGTCTTGCAACAGGCTGAGGAAGATGCAGCATCCTTGAGAGCCGAACTGAATATGATACAACAACAAGCAATGAGTGGTACACTTAGTGCAGTAACATCAATTGCTAATTCACCAGATCAGATACAAACTTTAGAAAAGGAGTTAGCTAGCTTAAAATTTGAGTTACAGGTGATAATTTGTTTAATGGACCTTGTGTAGTTTTGCTTCTGGTTCTTGTTTGTAGGCATTTGACTTTGGTACAAATTTTGTAGCGAGAGTCGCAATTGAGGCAGCAAGAGCGACAACAATTAGCAGAGGAGCAAGCCCGGGCATCCACCCTTACATCTGAAAAGCAGGAATTGGAAGAAAAGCTTGCAGCTATTTCTAGAAAGGCTTCAGGTACAAAATCTACCAAATATATATCCAGAGATTACAACACCATAAGGTATTTCAGAAAATCTCCTTTCAGATATTCGATGTACTTTAAAAGGAGAGGACTTTAGGGGCCTACTTTAACTCTTAGGGTGCACAGTCTCATGTGGAAGAGACTGATGAACAGTTGTACCTATAAGGCTGTTGGTCAAGAATAGTTAAACAAATTGGCCATTGTTGTCATGAAATTTTCCTCTTAGGGGATGAGGATTTCAATACAGCTACCATTATATTTTGTTTGCATATTCAGCAATACATTCATACGTTCCTCTATATCTAATTTAAGATTTAGAACCTAGATCCCTTGACGGCTCAGGGTATATGAAGTTGCAACTGGAACCCCTTTTGGCTTTTTTATTCCAAACATAATTGTTTGTTCTTGATGCCTTCTGTTGTGTTTTGATTTGTTATGGCTCTGACAGTTGTGTTGTCGTTTGGCCTTTTAGTATAATTCATTTCTTATAATGGCATTTAAAAAAAAAATATAGCTCTTATGAATGTTGTTTCCCTGGTTCATGCACTGCAGAAGTCTCAGAGAAAGTGGCTGGCAAGGAATTTTCATTAGTAAGTTAATTTTTTGATGATCTTGTTAAATCCTTTTATAGTTGCTTTGTCTATGATCACATGCCAAACAAAATAGGGAGGAAAACAAGGAGGCAGCAACTTAATGAGTTCATCTGAGTCACAATTGAGTGCAAATGTTAATGACTTAAAATTTGAATGGTCTCTTAGCAAGTTCATGTGGTTCTAGTCCACTTGCGTAACCTAGTTTTGCTATTATTGTTAGTATGAGTGTGACTCATCAGTTCAACCTCCTTTTTTTCTGGTTGTTCCTTGATTAATTTTATTTGGATAAATGTTTCACTGGTTAATGAATTAATGGCCAGGAGGACAAGGAGAAACTTGAGAAGCAGTTGCATGACATGGCTGTAGTGATTGAGAAATTGGAAAGCAGTAGACAAAAGCTTTTGATAGAGGTTATCCTTGCAACTCTGTCTTATTTTACTCCAATGTGATTTTTTGGTGTATGTCTTTGACAGCAAACTCACTTTTTGTAAATGGTGGCAGATTGATTCCCAATCTTCGGAGATAGAAAGGCTTTTTGAGGAAAATTCTAATCTCTCAAGTTCCTATCAGGAGTCAATGAGCATATCAGTGCACTGGGAGAATCAGGTAATTGTCAGTGGCTAAGGTGATGGAGAATGACAGAGGGTAGCTTGTGGTTCTAGGAACTGGTGTTGCCTATCTGTTCACTTATCCGTGATACATTTTTCCTAATATTATGTGGCACGTTGGAATCCCAATAATTAGGCCGAAACAATTGTCAACTGTACATGGAAAATGGTTGTTATGGCCTGAGCTTACACTTTACTATGCTGGACTAGTAAATTCAGCTAATCTGGTGCATGTTTGCGGTATGAAACTGCATTGTGATACTGAATAAGTTATGGTCAACCCAGAGTTTAATTATGTTTGCAATATCTTCTTAGAGTAATCATTCAGTTTACTATATTTTGCCACTTTTTTATTTCTGTGAAACTTCTTAGTTTTTGGCATGTGAACTTGCAGGTGAAAGACTGTCTTAAGCAAAATGAAGAGCTCCGTGGAACTTTAGATAAGCTGAGAACAGACCAGGCCAAGGGGATGCCAGAATCCCACGAAGGCAGGGATAATGAGACTGGTTCAGCTGCATATACAACTAAAGTTCTCTCCATCAAGGTTAGTCTGTGTGCTTAGTGTGCCATATTTGATCACCAATAAGGTTTTGCAGTAAAACACTCATCAAGAAAAATGTAGGAGAAAAAAAGTTATATTTTTGAACTTCCCTTGGTGCTTTGTTTTGTTATAGATTCAAGATGAGGATGTGATTTGTGGGACAAGTCTCACAACTTTTTTTTAATGAAAAAATTCCGAATAACATATTAGTTTTATATTTATTTTGTTGTCAAACAAGCATGGATTATCCGGAAGAATGTTTTTATATTCTTTGTTTTATGTGGTTGCCGATTTTGAAGAGGTAGAGAAAGACCAATATGTTAGAAGTTTATATAACTTGTCAAGTAATTGTAGCTTTCATTATTTGGGATAAGCTTGTAAAATTGATGATGTCATGAATTTTTCTTGGTTACTTTCTGTCTGACATCAATGCTACTTTTTCTTTGGTTTGTAGGATCAACTTGCAAAAGAACAGAGCAGAGCAGAGGCATTATCAGCCGAGGTATTGCAGCTGTCCGCACGACTCCAACAATCCACCCAAGCATACAATGGGCTTGCACGCCTGTAATATATATTCTCTCTCTCTCTCTCTCTCTGTGTTTCCATTTTCTTCTTATAAGTTCCATGCTAATGCCTTTTTCATCTAAACCTTTTGCAGCTATAAACCAGTGTTGCGAAACATAGAAAGCAGTCTCATCAAGATGAAACAAGATGGCCCTGTGACTGTGCGGTGAATGCAGAGGCAAATCAGCACAACCCCCTTTGTAGAAAAATTGGTCAAAGAAGCGCATCTTCAGTTGTTAAGTTTTTCAAACCCATTTGGGCTCGGCTTTTTTTCATGTATCAAGATGTGCACTAGTGAAAAAAGTGGTATTCTCTGTATCAAACCCATTTGTTGCACCGCATTTCAAAGAAACGATTTAAATCCCAAAAATTTCTGGCCTCAGCACAGGCATCTCGAAACCTAATAATATTTGTTACTTTGTGGATAAGCAAAACATTCAAAATTGTACTTATTCTTTCTACCCATCCAAGGGATTCTTCCAATATTCCAGTAAAATTATTTATATTTAAGTAAATAGCAAAATTATAGACAGGGAACATTACTAGCGACCTGCCTAATTTTATTGTATAAATTTTCGGGATCAATGATTGGACCATGCAAACTAAAAATACTTAGCCTGATTCCCTTTGGCACCTGCCGAATTTTATTGTATAAATTTTCGGGATCAATGATTGGACCATGCAAACTAAAAATACTTGCCTGATTCCCTTCGGCAACATGAAAGGGCGCATCACGAGAATGAGCATCATATAGTTCGACAACAACTTGATCCGTTTGTTTTTCAAGATCGCTATAGTAGTATAAATCTGTTGCAATGTGCCACAGGAGAATGCTTTTATCAAACGGTACTTCAACCAATCTTCAGTTGAATTTTTCGACACAATTTCTCTGTTGCAGCACATGATTCCCTCTCCAAGTCAACACTTGACTAGCATTGTGTTCTTTTCGGGCAACGACTCCTTGAGCATCTTTGAGTTGCTCAGAGATAAGCTGTTTCATTTTGACGGGGACATCCTCTAAAGTCGTGTACCAGTACTTCTCAGACATGGTATAGATACCAAGGAGCCTTTGAATTCCAGCACCCTTTAGGGGCTTCTCTTTTAGACAAAAGTTGATGAGATTGTACCGCGTCATGGATTCCGACCACCTTTTGTCACAGTTCTAATTTGATCGAAGCAAAGAGATATTGCTCGATACCAGGAGGGGGATGGATGAGCCATCGAATACTTCTGCTTGCTTAACCAGTATAGTGTCCAGTCTGTGAAAACTAGTACAACATAGCTCGAGGGCAATAGCTCCAACAGACAAGAAGTGAGAATCACGTCAATGGTGAAATAACGTTGCTTATCAATGACGAAACAAAAGACGAAATGTTTAGGGGGTTGCTAATTAATTAGTCTGGTGCTCAATGAAACGTTTAGGGGGTTGCTATTGCCAGATTACATGATGTCTAGGGCTTTCATATTGCCGGAGGGGATAGGGCAAGTTAGGTTTCGATACACGTGTGACGAGGCCATAGACTTTTTTGACAAGAGAAGAGAACTCATAACCAATGGAGCAAACCATGCCCGGTAGGTTTTGCTTGAGGTGAACACGGAGTTAGATCCGTTAGGAGACAGAAGCAAGACAGTGCTGTTTGATAGGTGCAGGCTTGCAAATCAGTTTCAAGCATTGGAAGCAGAGGAGGGATGGACCAATGAAGATAAATGGAAAGTGATAAGTCAATGTGGATGGAAGCAGCATGCCCAACAGCTTAGGCATGGGGGAGAGCTTCTCACACATGTATGCCTTCTCTCATGGCAAACCTTGGTTTCAGCCAACAATTTCAGATAAAAACGAGGCTCACCAACAATTAGTCTATATGCTGTTACTAAGCAAGCCTAGCTTTTGGCTTTGAAAACTTCTCCACAAAGTTCATTTGCCAGAGTGAGTCGATGATCTGAGTAATTACAGTGAGGTTTTGAAAGATGGTCACTTGTATAACTCGTTCACTTATTATAATATAAGTGGATATTTATTAGGGAGACTTTGGAAAAACCCAAAGGAGAGAGAAATTTTGTAAAAGAACCCAAAATGGACAAATTTGCCCTTATTTATTTTTGGATTTCCTAAGAAATCATTTACACTTGCATTTACTTATTTATTAATACCACTACACTTTAAAAATGAAAATCTTAAACATGACATCTACCTATATTATGACACATGAACAAGTTATATCAAGTTACGTATTGCAGTATCATATAAATAATTTTTCAACACGATATGGGTGTAGCTTTGACAAATGATTTTTATGCAAATAATGTCATGTTATGATTTGCCAACAGCCTGTCACAAGTGATGAAGACATAGGCCCATACTTTGAAGGCACCACTTGCCTGCAATCAATGGATGCCATTCATATATTCTTCTCCGTGATACATGCCTCCACAATCGTAATCTTTGCTTAATAAAGATTATATTCTCAGTCTTTTGTCGATTTCAACTGTTTTAAGGAATCTTTGGCTTTTTATCCCATACCTTTAGCTTTTGTAGCATAATAATGTTATATCACTTTACCTTGATTATACAGCATTTGCCACATAAACTCTGTTAACATGTTATTATTACTGCCATTGATAATTTGGTTCAGCCATAATCGGTTTTCACTTTATTGATGAAAGAGGTTCTTAGTTCAAATATTATAAACGATATACGTTTATTGAAAGAGATCTTGAGTTCAAATAATATAGACGACATATTTATATGGTGAATTTAAAATAATTAATAAAAATGTTATCTTGCTATGTAGAAATTATAATGGACGTTAGTGATTTGGTGGTGTAGCACAGCTGGCCACCCGATCATTGATGCAAGTATTAAGCATAATCAAGGTGCGAGGCCAATCCAATGTGGTTGGTGAAAGAAACTTTGAACCCATTTGAAAATGGAAGAATACAAAAGGAAAAAGTAAGCACTAGTTATTCTATGAGATTCCTTGCCTCATGTCATCATCAAAACTTGTTAAATAAGAAAATCATGATACTCAACGTGTCATTCTCATCCCTTTTTCAAGTTCTCTTATAATTAGCATGCTCTGCTGATAATTTCATTCCAGCAAAACATGAAGGGGAAAACCATTTGCTTCTGCATTCTGCAGGCCGCAAACACAAAGATAATGAAGAGAAGCATGATGAGTCCTCTCACTCCAACTCTCGCCGAAGCCGCAAGAGTAGAGGACATGTTGTTGCAACAGGTACCGGTGATCATGGTGAAGGCAATGATGGAGACACCGCAGCTGCCTCTGCAGCACCAACAATGGCCGCGGCAGCTGTAATGATGAGTGCCGCCCACATGTCAACTATGGATGGCGATGGCGGTGGTGGCAGTGCTCATGGTGGCGGCGATGGTTGATGGCATTGAAAGTTGATGCTTTTTTAGCATTTTTGTTCAATTATTGTCTCTACTATTATATTATACCACTTAATTTTGTTTTTTTGTTTCTGGGTTCTATGATTGTGAAGAGTGAAAGAGTGGACAATCACAATGTGATATTGTGTATTTTCATTTTATAATTTGCAATAATTATGTAAGTTTGATTGTCAATGAACTGAGAGGGGAAGGCTTCGTTTTTGCACTTGTCTCTCTCTCTGTTCTTTTGTTTATTGTTACTTCTGGAACCTTTTGTTTGCAAGAATGATTGAGTACATCCCATAAGCTTGTGAGTCTTGTACAAAAAAACCCTCTTCAATATCGATAATCAAATGGTTTAAGGATTTTAATTTTAAGAAGGGCAGCGATTCAAGCCAGTGTACCATTTTTGTGCTGGATTGAGATAAGTTAGTATCAAATTTGATCAAATTTTAAGTTGTACTCGAAAGCCTTTTAGAGTTCTTACATAGGTTGGATCTCAAATTCTCTATGGTGATTCTATGGCCACTCAAAACTTGCCTCCAAGAACATCTATGCTCATGCTTTAAACGATAAAAAATGGAAAATTCGACCAATGTCACCTACTTAACCGGAGGGAAGATATCCCGACAAATTTTGCCAGGAAAGATTTATCCAGACAAAATTTCTTTGGAAAATATCTATCCAGACAATAGTTTCTCCGGGAAAGAACAAACTTCGCTAGGAAAGATTTATCCTGACAAACTCTCGCCATTAGAGATCTATCCGGACAAAGCCGGGAAAGATATCTCTTGGGAAAAAACAAATGTTGCCAGGAAATATTTATTCCGACAAACTTTCGTTTGGCAAGATCTATACAACAATAGTTCGCCAGGAAAAGATCTATCCTGACAAAATTTCTCCCTAAGAGATATATATCGACAAACTTTCACTGGCAAAGATCTATCTCTACAAAATTTAGCCGGCCAAAAACAACTTTCACCGGGAAAGAATATATACATACAAATCAATTCAGCACCTGAATTCATTTTTTTTTTTTTTTTGCAATGTACTGTAACTTACACTCTGTCTCAAATAAGTTGCACATGATAAACACGTGAGCCTTTTGAAGAGTATTTTGACATCCAACATATGTTCATGCACCACCCTCGTTCTCTCTCTCTCACTCTCTCTCTCTCTCTCTCTCTCTCTCTCTCTCTCTACATGGATAATGGAAGGCTTAAGTTACGATATGTTATTCTCAATCCCGCTCACCTAAGGACCTGAAAATGAGATCAGTTATGTGGACGTTTGGCTACGCTTATCAGAGGACGCGCAGCAGAAGAATTTGTATATTCAGGTCGTGTATCAACAGGCGCACTTGATGATATACGACGAGCGACTGACATGGCATACAAAGCAGTAGCTGAGTATGGTCTCAATCAAACCATTGCCCCTGTGTCTATAGCAACACTATCTGCTGGTGGAATGGATGAGTCGTGGGGAGGTGCTCCTTGGGGAAGGGATCAGGTCCTGTGTATTTTTATTTTATTCCTTATCAAATTATTTGCGGTAAATACTGATCCTAGAGTGATGAAAACAAGGGCATCTTGTTGATCTTGTTCAAGGAGAGGTTAAAGCATTGCTACTAATGGTGTCTGTCAAGGGACGGAATGAACTGTATCGTAAGAAAGAGGGACAGAGTCACCTTAGAGTAATGGTTCGATCACCAGGGACAAATGTGTCTTTTTGCAGTGTCGCCGCTGTTGACATAGTATAGCCGCGCGGCTCTAATGTTACATATAGCCGCTCGGCTATACGGTTGAATACTTTTGAAAATTTCTATTTATAGAGTCAAGCCGTTCGGCTATTTTGAAACTTTCTATTTATAGAATATAGCCGTGCTGGTATGATATTTTCTAAAAATAGTATAGCCGGTCGGCTATAATCTGTTTTATTAAATATTTCTAAAAAATAGTATAGCCGGGCGGCTATACATGTTTTGACACGTTCCGCCCATTCGCTAGGCGGGTTCTCTTCTCCCAGTCGCCTGTGTCAATTGTGGGTTCTCTTCCACCTTATCGAGCCTAAAGCAACCAAACACACACCTTCAAACAAAACGGCAAAACTTGAATTGCAAAACCAGATGCTCTAACCTAAAAAGCCCACAACTTTCAAATAAATTTGAAAACAAAAAATCAACCCAGAAATCAGGATCACTTGGACTTAATTGGGTTATCAACCAACGAATTGAGCAACTAAATGTACGGTTATTATTACGTTGGGCAGAGAGTGAGGTGAGCGTCTTGAGGTTACTGGAGTTGCAGAACAGAGTGAGAGGCCATGGCAGTTCGTATAATATTCGAAATTTGAACGGTATAGCCGCGCGGCCATACATAGTATAGCCGCTCGGCAGCACTATGGAATACATTTAAAGAGTATGGCCGCGCGGCTTTACCGTTTAAATATTAAATATACAAAATGGGAAGCAAGGATGGGAGAACTCTTGACCTCGAGGCAGGGCAGAAACTTGTTGCCAGGAAAGTTTCTCCGCGTGCAGGCAAGTGTTTCCCTCGCATTGGCCTCTGTATCTGAAGCCACACATACTTGAATACTTCTTTCGTTTACTGCCCAAACAAAGGCAAAATTCAATGCTCACAACTATGGGACTCCAAGTTTTCAATCGTGCTTCGAGGTTAAGATAAATTTGTTAGAAAGAAAAAATTAGAAAGCTTGAGGAAGGAATTATAAAGAAAAAAAAAAGTTTCCAATAAATAAAAAAATTAAGAAAAAGTTTCGACCTTTTAAGTTGGAAAATATTTTAATCGGTTGGGTCTAACTAAATATAATCTTGTGGTTAAGATAAATTTATTCCTCACATAACCTCATTTTTAGATCCTTATGCGAGCAGGACTCATCTTATTCGTGACTTATAAATTGAGAATTAACGTGTTTTCTTTTGCAATTAGCGCAGCACAAGTTTTTTTGGCCTATTTTGTGGCTTTTGAATCGAGGTTATTTTTGTTGGGATACTTTAAATTAAAAACTAAAAGAGAGAGAAAAACAAAACATCAACAGCCCAAAGTAAAAGGGCCCGAGAAACTCAATCCACTCCTTGCCACGTGCGAAGGCTTTGTCTTTTATCAAACACACGCTCGACAACACTCTCACATCCCAAAGCCCTAATCTCTGTAAACCTAAAATCCCCAATCTCCTCTCTTTAGCTTACGCACATACAGAGACAGCCATGGCTCTAGTGAGACCTGGATCAGGGTCAGCCCAGCCGGCGAAGCTTCGATGGGGAGAGCTCGAAGAGGACGACGGCGAGGATCTGGACTTCCTCCTGCCGCCGAAGCAGGTGATTGGGCCGGACGAGAACGGGATCAAGAAGGTAATAGAGTACAAGTTCAATGAGGACGGCAATAAGGTCAAGATCACGACCACGACCCGGACTCGGAAACTCGCCAACGCTCGACTTAGTAAGCGGGCCGTGGAGCGCCGCTCCTGGCCTAAGTTCGGCGACGCCGTGCATGAGGACGTCGGTGCCAGGCTAACCATGGTCTCCACTGAAGAGATCCTCCTTGAGCGCCCCAGGGCTCCTGGTATGTCTTGTTCCGATTTTCGGAATGTTGTTGTTGATGGGTGTTTTTATTTTAGGGTTTGTGAGGAGGATTATGTGGAATTTACTTATCCTCTCTGTGTTTTTTGGAATGTTTTTGACATAAGTTTAATTGTGTATGATTATGTTTTTGTGATTAAAAACCGATTCTTAGAAATATAGTAAAATTATTTGGGGAGATTTTGGTTATTATTTTTAAGTTTCTCTGTTAGTTTTTGTAATAGACATGTAATGATTCTTGAATTAAATCTCGACTAAATATGTTTTTTTAGGAGTATTTCAAGTAGGTTAACTGGGTTTTCTATTGGAACAAATGAAGCTGTAATCGTGAATTGGATTGTTCGTTGCATTGTTACTAAGCATTTTGCTTTTCTTTCCCTTGCTTTTACCATGTTCAAGGGAAATTAGTGATGCGTCTGTTTGAGGCAATTGCTATGTTTGAATGAAGGGAATAGGAAAAGGCGCTTTGTTTAAATGAACAATTTCTTTGTTGTTCTTGACAATTAGTCTGTCTAGCTGACCTTGTATGTCTTTTGTAGGTGAGCATGGGGCATTTAGCCATTTTTCTTGGAATTAGTTCCCAACAGTTTTCCTAATTGGCTTAAATCTCATAACTTGATGCAGAAAGATCTTCTAACCCAATACCTTAAGTATTTAAGTGATGGGGCATTTAGCCATTTACACATGTCTAGTTAAATGATGCAGAAAGATCTTCTAACCCAATACCTTAAGTATTTAAGTTTGTCTTACAAACTTAAGACAAGCTCAGCTGTGCCAGCTATCTTGAAATGCTCCTTCATCTGGGCCTGGACTCAAGTCCCTTAATTTAGGTGTATGTGGAGGTTGGATGTTGTTTTAGGTTAAGAGGCCTGCCCAGGGATGGCTACTTTCTCAGAGATAATTTAGTGCAAATTCATTGCATCAATTTGATTTTGAAGATAACATGTCTTGCCATGTCATTTTCATTTGTGCATAATGCACGATTGACATGGAATAATATTTGAGTAACTATTTGTTGATGGCCTTCTTTATCTCATTGCTTTTGCGGCTTCTCTATTTATGTCTTATGTCAGAGATTTGTTTTTGATTTGCTTGTTATCATTCAATTCCAATTGGTCACAGTAAATGAATTTTTGGGGTTTTGTGCTTATCATATATCATCATCACCCCATTTTTATATTTGTTTTTGACTGTGAACTCCAAACTCCAAACAGGTAGCAAGGCAGAAGAACCAAAGGCTGGAGGAGACTCTTTGGCTCAACTCGGAAAAGGAGGGGCTGCTCTCAAACTTTGTAGGACTTGTGGTAAGAAGGGTGACCACTGGACTTCACAGTGCCCATATAAGGATCTCGCCCCACAGGCTGAAGCATTCAGTGATAAGCCTCCTACATCAGATGCAGCAACTGGAGCTGCTGGAACTGGTAAGTATGTTCCTCCAAGCGTGAGAGCAGGGGCAGACAGAACTGGATCTGATATGAGACGAAGGAATGATGAGAACTCTGTTCGTGTCACCAACCTTTCAGAGGACACACGGGAGCCTGACTTGCTTGAACTTTTCCGGCCTTTTGGGGCTGTAAGCCGTGTTTACGTTGCTCTTGATAAGAATACGTCCATTAGCAGAGGATTTGGGTTTGTCAACTTTGTGAACAGGGAAGATGCCCAGAGAGCAATCAACAAGCTGAATGGGTACGGTTATGACAATCTCATCCTCAGGGTTGAATGGGCCACACCCAGGACAAATTAGACCCTTCTTACCCCTCTGTTTTCTTAATCTTATAAAGATATTTGCATTAAGAATGTTTTGTAGGATTTTGGTCCTACAATGTTTTTGTCCAGATGCTTTGTCGAAATTTTTTGTTCAAGATTTTGTTGCTCTAAATGGTTATTAAAGTTGCTTGTGCGAGTACTAATGATTAATATGAGTTGCTTCCTGCAAAGCCTTGAAAATGGTGTGCTTGCATTCCTTTTTTATTGTACTAGAAGAGAGATGTGGCTAGAGATCTTGGGTACCTAACCTAACACCGTTACGTTTTCTAAATAAACTCAAGGGTTTGAGTTCTGCAATGAATCATGAGCTGTTTGGTTTGTGCAGCACCATGAGATTGGGTTCTGCAACTTTATTTGGTTCTTGAAAAAACATTTAGTTATTCACCTGCTCTTTTGTAAGATAAACAAAGCTTCCATGCAAAGGGAGAAAACAAGAAATTGAATATAGCCTATTTTGTTTTTTCCACAATAGGCCACAGCTATCAACATTTAGTTGACCATTGATTGTTAGGATATGAGCGGGCTGGAGGTAGAAGCAGACATTGTGAATTGGATTCCAGGAGAGGCAATGAGTTGGGAGCTTCGGGGAGGACTCATGGCAGAAGCTGGAGACAAGAGGAATTTGATTCCCGATCGATTGGAGCTTGTTGAATCCGCCGGAAGTGGGACGTAGGGCACTGCAGGCAATTCACAGTACCAGGACTCCACGGGGGTTGGTTGCTCACCAGCCCTATACTGAAGGATAGTCCTGTATAGTAAGGGTAGGAGGCCCTCCATTAGAAAAGAGGAGAGGGGAGAGATGAACTATTTTTCAGTGGGGGTGAGATTTGGGAATGATTTTAAGGCAAAAGGAGAGGGGTGGTATTGCGAAGGAACTGGTACAATGTCATTTTTTCCACGCCTAAAAGTGACCCTGTGAGATAAAATGAAAGCTCATCTCCCACTCTGGGGATCCAAATAAAGAAACTGTGGGCATGATATTATATATTTTACCAAATCTGTCTAAGATCTGTTTTTTAGGTGGCAACCGCAACATGTCCCTTTTCTTTTATATTTGTGTGACTTTATTTATTTATTTATTATAAATCCAAGTTTTATTTCATCTCTGAAGTCAAAGAGATGGTCTCTACCTTCTTCCGGAGGGAGGCTCGAGAGCCATCATTGTTACAATTTTGCTGCCTACTGTCCAACTTGCCCTCTTCCCTCTCCAAATGCAATCTCCCTATGGTTTGATGTGCATATGTAAAGTTTCCGGGTATATTATGGAGTGGAAAATGGTAATAGAATATATATATATAGCTTCCCTCAAATAAGTTTATTTGAAGAACACCCTTATATATAAGAGTTACAAAACAAACATACCTCATTGCTCACTATAAATATAATATAGTGCACAAATCCGACCTTGAAAAAGTGCAGGTGGTGCCACAACACAAGGTGATGCCAACTTGTACTTTTGGATTTGTTATGAGCATAATAAGCGAAATGATCTATTAAATAATTAATTACATTTCCAAGAGTACAGTATACTATTACTATGCTTGATTTGGATAAAGGAATTTGGAAGAAAATGATTTGGATATGAAAACAAAGTCAAATTTGGTACAAAATCGAGAAAAACATTAAATTGAATGTATTCGAAATAACTAAATGTAACACATTTAAAATGACTACATACTAGCAACCATTTAAAATCCATTTATTTTACTTTATACATTGAATTGTAATAGTTTAAACAAACAATTTTACCTTATAATTTATAATCACTGAATTTGGAATCCAAATGGACACTATTTACATCACAATCTTTCACTATCCTAGAGATCGCATCTTGTAAACATTACTGTTAATTCCTTGAACACGTGTAGTTCTTCACCCGACATAAATCAATTACTATCAGAGCTATACGTCAAATCTCAAAAGTAACCACGAAAGAGGCCCACGACTATCTGTACACCTATAATCAAAAGTTCAACTTGACTTTATTCTTCTCTTATTGAAAGGATAAAATTGCTAGAGGCTACTCCTACGAACCTATTATCTAAAGATAGCTTAATCTGCCCATAATCCTAATTTTTATCTCTGAAATTATAAAAGTTCAAACCTAAAGTCCAGGTGCAATAAGACAAAAAGAATTTAAAATGTATCCACTTACGTGTAAAAATAAATATCACTAAACTAAAAACTAGCTCGTTTAAAACGAATATACCCGGCTATTCCTTTGGTTGATTGAGAGAGGTGTCAAATTGTTGTGAAAATTGGAGAAGCTTCCTACCCCACTTGAAATTACATCTAATTCAGATAATTACTGCAAGCCATGTGATCCTATCCTACCCCAAGTAAAACCAAATCATCAATGGGTTAAAAATAAAAATAAAAATAAAAAATCAAACTGAAAGGAAAAAGAGGGCAGATTGGGAAAAACAGAGAGAACCAAAAGAATCCAAACTGGCAGGCAGACGTGCACACTCTGAACTCCGCTCGTCAGCATCGGCTTCATTGGTAATTTTGGCTATATAAAGCAGCAAGGGGCCCAAGTCTTAAAGAGCCCAGATTCCCTTTTCGACAGTCTGTCTCAAACCCTTCATCTCGTGGGGTGCTTCTTGTGCATTACTGAGCAGAGCTCACATTCCAGGTTGTACCCACGACCACATTTTCTTGGGTTCTCAGATATCAGCTTCTTCCATCCCTCAGAAACGTCTTCATGGCTTCGCTCGTCGAATCTGGCTGGAGGGTACTTCCTCTTTCAACCCTTTTACTTTTATACTGTGGTCATAGATTTTTACTGGTTTTTAAATAACAAAAATTGTTTCTTGAACCCAGATTTGATGTTTTTGTTGGGTGTTGCTTGCTTTTGAATTACTGTGTGTTTTTCCCCTATATGTGTATATTTTTATAATGCAGGCATGTGCGTTGTGATTGGTGTGATTGGTTTTTCTGTGTTTGTGGGATAACGTAATGATTTGATCTGCCAGTGCATTTGGATGTTGTTGTTACTGAATTTAAGTAATGAGGTCAGTGGGTGGTTCTTTTCTTTCTTTTTCTATTTCTTTAAGTAATTTGGATGAGGAATAGTGACATTAAGGCGCATTATGTGTTCAGAATTGATATCAGCTGACGATTTGGAGATATTTTATTAAGATTAAGTTTCTTCAAAAAGAAGCACGTTCGTGTAAGTTGTGGTCAAGCAGTGTTAGTCGTATGATGCTCGAGTGTGAAGCAATATAATTGGATTGAAATGTTATTGTCGATTCCTGGGATAACGCAATGATTTGATGTACCTAGTGCATTTGGATGTTGTGGTTACTGTTTTCAAGTAATGTGGTTATTTGGTTACCTTTTATTTTTCTTTTCCTGTCCTTTTCCATTGTAATGACATCAGGCAGCATTAGGTGTTCAAGATTGACATCAGGTGAGGATTTGTAGGTGCTTTATTATGATTATGTTCCTTCAAACCTAAGCGGGTTCATGTAATTTGTGGTCTAACAAGCGTTAGCTATATGATTCTTGGATGTGAAGCAATATAGTTTGAAATGGTATTATTCCGCTGTTCTTTTCTTTGACTAATAACTGTACCTAAATGTATATCTGTTTCTTATTTCATGCAACACCAAACTCCTTTTTCCAAACTTCCAATGTCCTTTCTATTGAATCTTGGGACCCTGGATCACATGGACTGGGATCTGAGTCTAGGTTAGGAGCAACATGATGCATAGGCGGGGGTCATCATACTCTGGGTTTTAAATGATGGAAAGTATTTTTCATTCTTTCAATTAAACGATGCATAGGCAGGTGTCATCATAGTGTTTCTCAGTTGGTCCTTGCTTTCATCTCCATCGATCAATTTTGTAACTTTGGCATGTGAATGTTACCTTTAAATGTTCTCAAATGAAAGGAAAATGCAACTGATTTCTCTCTAGAAACTCCTCTGGTCAGGAATGATTAATTTTCCTTTTTAATTCTCCTAATTGTCTCTATTGTTATCTAATATTTTTCTTACTTTGTGAAATTCTTCTTTCTTTACCGTGCAGTATCTGATCACAAATTTCAACGACTTTCAACTGGCATGTCTAGGAAGTTTCTTTCTCCATGAGAGTGTTTTCTTTTTATCTGGACTCCCTTTTATATTTCTTGAGAGGGCAGGATGGCTGAGCAAGTACAAGATTCAGGTTCATCTCTCTTGACTTGGTTCGTAGTTAATTATTTTCATGTTTTTTTTTTTTTTTTTTCAGATCAGGAAGTATTTTTTTCTTCCTCAAAGATTTGTCTGACTAGCGCTATATGCCAGCCAAAATGTTTTCCAGCTCTGTTTAACATTGGAGATTGTAGACACAAATGTGTCTTGGAATCTAGTTTTTAGTAGAAGTCTCAATGATCAGGGATGAAGTTAGTTGTAGATTTGTTGAAGTCTTTATATGATGCTAAAGTGAAAGGTGATGGAGACTATGTATTATGTTTTGGGAAGAAATTTGATACCAAAGCTTTTTACTGGGCCTTATTGCAGTAATCACAGTTTTGTTTCCTTTGGGGGAAGCTTATGGGATAAGTGAGGCTCTAGAGCTAGCCTTTTACACATGAACTGCAGCTTATAAGATTCTTGCACTTGATAGTTTGTGGTTCAAGAGGAAGGATTTTGATTAATAGTTGTTATTTTGGGATGGGTACTAGGTTGGCCGAGGAGGTATTGAGTCATCTTTAGTTTTAAATTGCACTGCTCACATGTATGGGTGTAAAGGGCCATTTATTTTCTGTGATTGGGGTGACTTGGATTATATCTAGTTGGGCAGTGATGTATTAAGAGTTGGCATTGTCGTGTTGCACAAAACAGAATAGAAGAGTATGGACGGAATATTCATTGTGTGTATTTTTGGTCTTTTTCAATGGAGCAGAGAAGCTGATGGGAAGGAATACGCTCTCAGGGAGAGGAAATATTTTGAGAAAGCTGTTTGAATGGACTAGATGGGCTTTTGCTTCTTCTTTTGTAGATTTATGACAGTTTTCCTTCTCTTTACATATTTAATGATTGTTTGGTGCCTTTTACCCTTATGGACATAGGTGCTGCCCCATTGGCATTTCAATAGAACTTATAAAAATAGTGCCGTAACTTGATTCTAGTTTTCTGCAGACAAAAAATAACAGCCCTGCAGCTCAGGAGAAATGTATTACTCGCC